GCTGCTGCTCATGCTGCTGCTTGTTTGTTAATACAAACAACTTCTATATTATAATATTATTATATTATTATTTTTGTTTTGTTGATGAACAAAAAGAGAGAAAGTAGCGAAGAAGTTGATTAGAGGGTAGACAGCGGGATTCATATTTTTATCTTTTTTTTTTTTTTTTTTTTTTTTTTTTTTTTTTNTTGTTGTTTGTACTGTTGTTTTATTTATAGTTGTGTTTTTTTATTGTTGTTCTATTTATTATTTCATTTGTCTCTGTTTTATCTTTTGTTTATTTTTTGTTGTTTTCTTTCTGCTGCCCCCAACGCCTCAGCTGTTGTTGCTTTCGCTGATTGTATTTCAGTTGCCTGAAGAAGCTAAGCAGCAGCATCAGCTAGCTAGCTAGACACACAGCTAGCTGCAGCTAGCTAACAGCTAGCTAGCTAAACACACAGGCAGCTGCAGCTAGCTAGCTAGCTGCTGCTGCTGCGGATAGATTGAGACATGAAATGAGTGTACTGCTGCCACCGAGCGCTGCTTCAGTAAGGAAGGTCTAAGATTGCTCTGACGATATGCCAGCTAGCTAGCTAGCTAGCTGGCTAGCCTGCTAGCTAGCTAGCTAGCTAGCGGGCTAACAAGCTAGCACATCCTCGGCAAGTAATTCTTTATTGATTTTAATATAGTTAATATCTAGGGGAGGTCAGCGCAGCGAATCTACCGGCCTGCAGCTCCACCCACTCAGAGCCGTCTCCTCCCCATATACCGAAAAGGACGTGTGGCTACTTACTAACCTAGCTAGCTAGCTAGCTAGCTGGCTAGCCAGCTATTTAGCTATATATATTTCTATCCGTCTAGCAGACTAACCAGCTAGCTAGCAAGCTAGCTAGCCAGCAAGCTAGCTAGCTAGCTAGCTATAATCTTTTTACGTATCAATCGACTGTCGCTTGAATATGTGTATATGCGAATTGGCTGTGTGTGAAGACCTCCGGCACCGTTGTGTTGCAGCAAAATATTTGGGTGAATGCAATGCAAGGCATCACCACAGCTTTGTATAAGTTGCAGCGCTGCGGTGTATGTGCAGCTCTCAGCTGTCACCGCATCAAGAGTTTTCTTCTCTCAGCCTATACGAGGGAAAGAAGAGAAAAAAAGAGCAAATGAAACTAATAAAACCAACAAAGTGGTGTATATACAGCAGAAAAGCCATAGATGCACAGTTTTTTATATTTCATTGAATGAATAGTCTAAGATTGGGGTGTATAGGCAGCTCTGCTTTGTTGCGTATATAAGAAACACTGCAATCGAGGGGGCGGCTGTGAAATATATGTGGGTAAATACGTTGATGAGTTACTTGTATTATATAATTTATTTTTAAAATAAAAATAAATTTGTTTGATCTACAAAAAAAAAAGAAAAAAAAAAAAAAAAAAAAAAAAAAAAAAAGAAAAAAACAGCAGCTGAGTTGTATCGACGTACAAGCAGTTGACGCCGGCGTGCGTGATTCGTCTTTTTCGGTGTTAAGCGGCAAAAATAGAGCAACATAAGCATTAAATTTTGGTTTATAATTAAAAAAAATGAAATAAATACATTAAAATTACTTAAAATAAACAAAAAAAGAAGCAACACAAAACAAACGCAGTCGTGGCTCGCTCGAGAGGGAAGCTGCTGCTGCTGCTGCTGTGAAACCAGGTTGAGGTGTATAGACACCCCGGCATGGTTTTCTTCTATTTTCTTAATTTATATTATATTTATTCATTTGTTTCACGATATATTTTCCTTAATCCCCCAGTTAAAGCATTTATTTCTCCCTTTGGGACTCGTGCGTTGAGTGCTTTCTGTGTTCAGGTGTACTGTATGTACACCGTCTTCTTCCTCTCTGCTTTTTTATTGTTATTTCTCTTCATTTATATTCTTTAGGCAGTCAATATAGCCATGGGATAAGACCCCTTTCCCTGATCTCCTGCTCGTGCTGCTGCTGCTGCTGCTGCTGCTGCTGCTGCTGCTGCAGCTGCTGGCTTTCTCCTTAGCTGTATCGACTCCGTTTTTCTTCATTTTTATTCTTTTCCTTTCTTTCTTCCTTTTCAGTTAGAAGTGCAGCAGTTGTCATTTCTTGACTCCCTAAGACTCCACTTCAGATACAGAGAGAGGCGCTGCTGTTGCTGCTGCTGCTGCTGCTGCTGGTGTTGCTGCTGCAGCTGCTGCTGCTGCTGCTGCTGCCTCTCCCCTTTTCCCGTTTCTCTATCAACTCGCAGCTGTTGTTTTCTGTTGCTTTCTTACCGTTCGCTTCTTCTTCTTCTTCTGCTCCTATCAACAGCCTGGGGTGTACATGCAGCTCTGCAGCAAGTGAGGAAGGTCTTAATTGAAACAAAAGAAACAACAAAAACAACAAAAAAACAAAAAGATATAACTCAGCTGGCCATGTCTGCTTCTGCGAAGAGCAGAAACTCCTCTTTCGTACCTCCCTATACACCTGAAGCTGCCTATACACCCCGCAGTATAGCTGCCTATACACCGCGTTGCAGCCTTCTTCTTTACATTCTTTCTCTCGTGGCTCTCAAATAAGAAATTTAAATTAATGAAAAGAAGAAGAAAACTAATAAATAACTGAAAGCGAAATTCAGGGGAGGAGCTGCAGGTTATACTGAGGTGTACATACACCGCACAACAGTTGCTTTGTTTCTTTCCTTTTCTTCTTCTTTTTTTTTTTCTTTTTCTTCTTTTTGTTTTACCCCATTTCAGAAGAATCAAAGAAAAAAGACGAAATGGTGGTGTCAGGGTTTACGCTGTGAGTCTCCTGCGGTGTATGTACACCTCAGAACATCAGTAGCTGCTGCTCGCATCCCTGCATGCATGCATAGCTCAGCTGTATGTACACTTCATCTTCCACTTTGCATGCATGCATGCATGCATATCTAGTTGAGGTGTATATACAGTTTTGTGTGTTATCTCTAAAAAACAGAATT